GTACTGCAGAGCTGAAGGCAGAGGGAATGACATAAATAGAGGTGTGGTATAAATTGGGGTACAGCCTACATTTCATACCTGTTTGTATAGATATACATTTTAGTGTCCATTTTTGTGAAGTATTATCACCAACCCATGACCAACTGAATGCCAACTTCTTCTGATTGTGGCTGCTGTTTTATATGTTTTATTAACGGTTTACCTACAGTTGCAACAGCTTTATAGTCTTAAAATTTAACCAGTGCCTTTTCTTCCTCCTACTGCTGCCTTGCCAGTTCCCTTGAAGTAAGTAGCTACTTAGCTGCTGAAATGACAAAATACCTACTTAAAAAAATACTTCCAGCACAAAAATTCTAAGACTGAAATGGCATATCTGAGGTACCCAGTAGCTTGCTGTAGTTGAAAATGCCTTAATTTGAAAATGCCTTAATTTGAAAGCTCTGTAATGAAAGTCTGTTAATGATACACCAGAAATGAGCTAAGGCCAGTTTCAGAAGCACAGATGGCTAATTGGCTTCAGTTGCAGGTTATGTAATTTTAATTCAATTTTATTAGGAAGCATTTCAAAGCCATAACTGATGGTTTAGGATAGCTATAGTTTTTCGTAAATGACCTATTGCTAACCTTTATTTATTCCTCTGTCTCCTCTCAGTGTTAATAGAAGCTGCTGTGACTGAGCTCTCCATGGCCATCTCTCGTCTCATCCATGTCTACAGCAGCAGCTTTGATGTAAATTTCCAGCTTGCCAGCATTCCTAGGAGCCCTCTATGTGCAGACATCAGCCTAAATTCCCAGCTGAGCTTCAGTGTTTGTGCTGCCCATAACATCCCAGAAGCCTGGGTGACGAGGTAGGAGGAGGGTTCATAAGAAGATGTCTTGTCTCTTTGACAAAAATAATTTTTCACAGATACCAGCTCACCTCTGCTGCTTTGGTGGTGATCCTAAATTAATGTCAGAGACTGTGTGATGCACACCAAGGCTGTTTGGACTGGGAATTGGTGTGGTCTCAGCAGGACAAGTAACTGGAAGGGTTGGAGGCCAGCTTGCCAAGCGAAGCAGAGGGGTGTTTTTGCTTGAGCCCAGTCTCAGTGAGGCTTTCTCAGCAATTTTTGCTCTTGGTTTGTTCAAACCTTGTCATGTGGCCAAGCACCTGAATTGGTGATGTCCTTCATAGGTGTGATTGAAGTTTAGAGATCTAAGTATACCTACTATCAGCATAACACAGGAAAACAAAAGAATAGAAATATAGAAATATAATTTTGATAGAAAAAGGAGAATTTAATAAAAAGCTAACAGGAATACTATCTTCTGCATTGCTCAAATTTGGTAAAATTAGTCATCTCATCAAGTAGTTGCTTTTCCTAGTCTGAGCGAAGCTGGGGTTCTTACCATCTTTGATCACTCATTCATTGATCACTCCAGTGTGATCAAAGGGGGGCAGGTGAGCAGAGTCTGGTAGCATTATTTTTATGAGTCAAAAAGTTGTTCTCAAAGTTTTTGTTAATTTTCCCACTGCTTCCTCTTTACCTTCAATCCCAAATGATTGTGGGATCATTTGCATCAGTCTGTGAGCACAAGACTGTACTATACAGGATTGTTTGTAATTAGCTATTTAACAAAAATCTGAGGGGCTTTGCATTAGTTAAGGTACTAAATACAGTACTATAATCACTATCCTGATTTAAGATGGTTATACCATTCCCACCGAATTTTATCTTTTACCGGAAAAATGTGATATTACACATAGCCTAAAGGCCACTGATGACTTGAATGCTATGTTGTAGCACATAAAAACGAGAATCTTTCTTCCTCCTAATCTCTCTTTCCAGTCTTTCCAATAATCATAACTAGCATGGACTTCTTAATATGAACTGCTGCTCTAACACTTGGTTTCCTCAAATTCTTTTAAGGACCTAGTTCATATGCATGCTCCTCATTCTTATTTTTCTGTACTGCATGAATTCATGGTGGCAGTGTCATGGATCTCATGTTCCCTTTCCAAAGGTCACATTATGATCTTGCAGCTGTTTTAACATGTATTATAACATGTTTATATTCCTACGTATGTATAATGTATAAAATATATTCTATAGGGAAGTATATGCATTATGATATATATTCTATTATGGATCGGTACTTTTATTTAAATAGCAGAACTTAGTAATTTGGTTGTATGAAAACCTTATATTTCCTGAGCTATCCTTCAACTCTCTGTAAAGTTTAGACTCTAGGGGATGTATTTCCTGTTCCTACAAGGTAATTTTTCCTTCTCTGAACTGATACCTCATAGGTACTGCAGACTACAGATAATTTTCTTTCAATTTAAAAAAAAAGAAAAAAACCCGTCCCAAATCTGCTACAATAATTATAAAATATATTATAATATTCTGAAAGGGATAAGCCATCATTCTTATCAATATGGCAAAGTCAGGCACCTCCAATCTGTGACTGCCTCAGATTTCCTGTTCACATTTGACTGTTTCCCATGTTCATCATTCTTGGCCAGAATGAGGTCTAAAGCTGAGCCTGGCAGGAAGATCTGGAAGTTACAAGACTAATTAGGAACATTAATTATTTATAATCTATTTTGACTAATATTTTAAAAGATTTCAGTAAGAGAAATTTGAAGCAAGAGACCAGACCTAAATTTCACTCTGAAGCTGCTCAGTTCACTTTCTGAAGGCCAGCACAGAGGGCTTTTATGCTTCTGCTGTAAAAACATATATATTCTCTTGAGTATTAATCTGTTTACACACAGATTGGGAAAAGAAGGTATAAATAGAATCACAGGGTTGAAAAGAACCTTAAAGATCATCCCCTTCCACCCCCTGCCATGGGCAGGGGCATCTCCCATTATCAGAGCTCCCATTGCTCAGAGCTCCATCCAACCTGGCCTTGGACATTCCAGGGATCCAGGGGCAGCCACAGCTGCTCTGGACAACCTGTGCCAGGGCCTTCCCACCCTCAGGGTAAAGAATTTCATCCTAATATCCAATCTAAACCTAACTTACTTTGGTTTAAAGCCTTCCCTTGTCCCATCACTACATTCCCTTGTAGTGATGTATTCCACTACAATATCCCTTCCTTGCCTCTTTGGGTGCTCTAATGTCCCCCTGGAACCTTTTCTTCTCCAGGCTGAATAACCCCCATTCCCTCAGTCTTCCCAGGAGAGGTGCCCCAACCCTCTGAGCATCTTTGTGTCCTCCTCTGGACCTGCTCTGACAGTTCCATGGCTTTCATGTGCTGGGGGCCCCAGAGCTGCATGCATTTTTCGAGTTGGGAGATTTCTTGTTGACTCTAGGATGAGCAAGTACCAACACTTATGTCCAAGTTTTTGTTCACTGCAATAATGAAAAAAAAATTAATGTCAAAAACTTGTAACACACCCCAGGTATCTTCAAGAATTGTCTTTAATTCTGAACTTTAGAGAAAAAAAAAAAAAAAAAAAAATAAAAAAAAAAAAAAAAAAAAAAAAAAAAAAAAAACTTAGAAACCCATCCATGCACATGTTAATATGATATGAATTTATTATAATTCTTTTTCTCATCTAAGAATGGATTTTCATAAGTTTCTGAGTGGTTAACTCCAAATATATTGTGCTAAACACATAGTATATTGTAATTAACATTTTTTTCTCTTTTGTAGCTACAACTTTTTCTCTTTTTCCTGTTTACTAACTTATGCTGGGAAGATAATATGTCAAGTGAAGATTTGCAGAAATACTCCAGTTAAAAAATCCTTCGTTTTCCTGGCTGACTGGAATGAGAAGTAAGTTTTAGTCTGTGTTTGATATATGTTTATCTGACTGATATTGCACATCCAATATCCATTAAAAAAAAAAAAAAGATCAAAACCGGCGTATTTTTATGGGTGTTCTTCTGAGCCATTTAAACTGCACAGGATTCAGAGAAGCTTGGAGAGATTGGAATGAGAAAGAAATGGGAGAGCCAGAGGCAGGGAAGTGGGACTAAGGTAAGTCTGGTCTGACAATAAGCTAAACTGATCTGGACTGTGAATAGCTTTTGTTCACTGGAGGAGTCCAGGAGTGCTGGAACTGAAAGTAGATGCAACCAAAGGTTCTCTTTCTGTTCTTTTGAGGAATTCCACCTTTTGGATCTACCTTTAATACATCTGCAATCCAGCTTGAGAACCTACAGCAACATTTCTTCAAGGTTCTTGTTTTATCAAACAAGGATGTTTGCGTTGTTAGGTTGGGGTTTTATTTGTATGTTTACTTGTTTAATTTTTGGAGGGTTATTCCATTTTGTTGTTTGTTGGTTTGTTTTTTTAATAAGAAGGATCTGCAGTTTTATAATGAGGACCTTACTTTGAGACTGGAATTTTAGGTTGAAGGCTGCCTGTTACCTGTCTGTCTCACACTCAATCAGCATTCATTTAAGGCAATGGCATGAAAAAAAAGCATTTTTGCAATAGATGAGAGAGAGAGACCTTTTTTATGATTTCGTGGTGATATGGAATTCTTTCAGCTTCTGGAGAGTGGCATATTTATATTTGCAATCTTTGAAATTTTTGGTATTTTCCATCACTGTTTACTGTATTCTAAATCTGAAAGCAGCTTGGTTATATTAGAATTGAGCAAAGGCCACAAGTCTGAAAAGATTTGCTTTTGGAGTTTTTTCCTAATTACATTTGTAATTGTATGCGCAATCCACAACTTCTGTTTGCCTTTTTCTGAGACACACAACAGTATCAAACTGATCAAATGGAAGAAGAGCTTTTCATGTCAAACAAATTTATCTTAGTGGAGTGATGTAGGAAGATAGTATGTTTGTGTATGGTTAAGAAACAAAACGGGTGAACTTCTGCTAAGTATCCAAGTAAGTTATTGTCATGGTTTGACACTGGCACAATGCCAGTGCCCCCATGAAAATGTGATCCCTCCCTTGAATGCTGTGAAGTGGAATCCAGAACAGAGCAAAGCAGGCTCAAGCTTAATAACAGAAAAAAACTTTATTAAGCTACTACTACAAAAGGAAAAAGAAAGGAAAAAAAGGAAAAAAAAAGACCAGACAAAGATCAAATGAAAACCTTGCAAAGCATTCCTCCCCCCTCCCCCCCAACTCCAACAAACCACAGTGAGACACAATCTGGACCCCAGTCAGGTTTCCACCCTCCAGACAATCAATACTCAGTCCTTCGAGGGAACAGAGTCTCTCCTGTGCCACAGACCCCCCAAGAAACACAGTTCCACATCCTGTGTTTCCATGTCACACATGGCACTGCCCGGAGAAAAGTTTGCCATGGTGACCCTTCTTCTTTCCATGCACAGTGCTCTCACCACCAATGCATGGATGGACTGCTTTTAGGATTTTTCCTTTCAAGGATGCCCTGCCAAGAGGGGAGAAAAGAACAGTTCAGTTTTTCATTGTTTGGGACCACAGTCCTCCCCATTTTCCCCTGGGGCCAAGGGCTCAAGAACAGAGATCTTCTTCTCTTCTCTTTCCTTTCCAGGACAAGGGGGCGCCACCACAAACTCCCTAACCTTTTCTCTGTTCACTCCACTTTTGTCTTTTCCCAGCTGAAGCAGGTCTTTTGACTCATTGGCATCCTCCCAAAACACAGTCCCTCTTGGAGGAGAAGATTGATTCAGGTTGTGGCTAACACGGAAAAGTCCAGCCAAAAGCCACTCCTTGTCCCCCTTCCATCTAGAATTCCTCCTTCCAACATCCCATCCCAGGGTCCAAGGTGTCCCTCTTCCTCTCTTTCAAACCGAGGAGGGGAAAGGAAAATTCACAAAGCTTTCATTTCTCAAGGAAGGGTTAAAAGTCCGAACTCCCAGGATGGCTCGATGCCCGGACATCCAGCAACTCCCACGCACTGGGCACCTTGCAGCTCCCACCCCCCCCTTCTCCTTCCTCACGGTGGAATTGCTGACAGAACTGCTGCTGTCTCTTTCTCTCTCCCTCTCGGGAGAGAAATTCTGGGGGGGGATGGAGACATCCCAGATTTCTTCCACCCTTCCATCTGCAGGGGCCAGCCCGGTTCCAGTCCTTCCACCACCCTTGGGGCTTTCGGCCTACCTTTCTCAGGCCATGGGGCTTCCCCTCCCCCACCCAGCTCGTGGCTGGGCAGGGGAGAGTTTGCACTGCACGCTGACCGGAACCAAAGAGAGCGAGTTCCCCTGGGAATTCTGCTTTTAACCCTCTGTGTTCTCAGAGGCGTGTCTACTTTCAATTGGTCAATATCTAAATTGACCTCTTCCTTCCGGAAAAAATTCTCTTTCCGTGTCAAACCACGACAGTTATTTTACAGCTTAAAATAAGCCCTTGATGCCTTGGGAAGGCTGCCCTAGAACAGAGGCTGGACAGAGTTACAGAATAAAGCAGGGTTTTATTCAAGGATCTCCTCCATGGATCCACCTTGGGCAGCACAAGAGCCCAGCCAGGGCTGCACCCAGGATGAACCAAAATGGTCCCAAAATGCACGAGTGCTCATGGGGGCTCTCACTGGGATCAGTTCTGCTCCATTTGCATCTTGGAGTTCATTGTCCCATTCCAGCTCCAGCCCAGGCAGTCCCATCCTGCTTGTTTTTATCTCTCCAGCCCACGTTGTTTGTGCTCCTGGGCCTGAGATTTGGATAATTTGTCCTTGGTCCCCAGCTGGAGAAGGAATTGTTTTGTCCCCCTGCTCTGTGAGGAGAGCTCACCATTCCCTCATATGAAGCTCAGAAATGCACACTAAAACAGTGCAGAATCTGAAAAATATAAAAGCTGAAACCTGAGGCATCACCCTAAGTTGTATCCCTAGCATTTAAGTACCTATCCCTCAGTCTTTTGTATGACTGGCAAGCAGCTGCTGTCCTTGTGTTTAAAAAAATCATATAATTCCCTTTACCTCTGTAGGAGTTTTCACCTTGTCCATGTGTCAGTCGAGTAATGTCTTATTACATAAGGCAGTTAACATTGAAGGCTTTGAGGAGGATTATATTTCTTTTGAGCAGTTTTGGCTTCTAAAAGGTGGCTAATGCTTTTCTGGAATTCACGTTACAAAACATTTACTAAAACAAAAGACAGAATAGAAATATCTGAAGCAGAAATTTTGCTCCTCTTCTGTTTCATGAAATTGAAATTTCTCCCTTGCAAAATCATTATTAAATGTGCACAATTCCATCCAAATCTTCCTGGAAAAGGAAGAAATTAAATATGCAGACCAAATTCTTTCACAGGTCACAGATGCTTGTAAGAGGCTCTTAATGTCAGATCTAGAAGTGTGTGAAACATAATAGCATCAGTTTGTGAGAGCAACATTTTCCTTTTTATTGCTGCTTGATTTAAAAAAAAAAAATTCAAAATCCATTTCAAACTGATTTTAAAGTAAAAACCTGAAAATTCATATCTGTCTGGCAGGATTTTGAATATTTCCCTCAACTATTAAAGGTATTCACATAATTTCTGTCTCTAATTGATTGAATTAGATTTGTTTAAGTCTCAATAAATGCGGGGAGGTTCCTTGAACTCCTTGTCCTGAGGTCCAGGCTGAGAATCTGGGGAACCAAGTATGCCATTGTTTTTTGTATGTATAACATGTATCCAGAACTGGGTTTTGTGAAAAAATGCTCTTTTTGAATCAAAACAGAGATGCCAGGTGAGCATCTTAAATCAGCTAGCAGCCTTAAAAGGAGAGGAGGTTTAGATTAGATGTTAGTAAGAAATTCTTTACTCTGAGGGTGGTGAGACCCTAGCACATGTTGTCCAGAGAAGCTGATCACAGCTGTTAAAAATGCATGGGGTAAAAGGTCAGCAGGAAGAGCATCTGTTACATTAGGAAGTCAGATATTCTCTATATAGCTATGGATCATTCAGGCCATAAAATAAACCTGGCTAATCCAAAATGAGTTCTAATCTTACATTAGGATTGATTTGAACAGAGGGGAAAAAAATGGCAAGTAATGTTTTGGTGATTAGGAATCTAGGTAGAGAACTTCTATCAAAGACAAGGCTTGTTTTATTCACTGATTTTCATTAATTTAGTTTCTATTTCTATTTTAAAGTACTTTAACCTGTTAATGTCTAAACATCAAGTTGACGGGTTTTTTTATAAATATGACCTTCTGTTCAAGTCTGTTATCATATTTGATCTTTCTCAGAATGTTCTCAGAAATGATGGGAATAATTTGATTCCTTAGAAGCTTGCCTTGTGCAGTGCTGCTTCTGTTATTTTTTGAGTATAGTTTTGCTTTAGAACTTGTGTATTACTTTTGGAAAGTGTGATTGTCTTCTTGAAACAAGGTCCAAACAGTCTGGTACCATTTAGCATACAATGTGTAAAGTCCAAATTTGCCCCCCTTATTTTCTCATCACTTTCATTTTTTTGGTGGCTGAGATCTCTTAATTATGTTCTTTGGTCTTAGCTGGTTGCTCTTAATGTATTTATAAAATAAAATGTAATTATAGATGTATTTACATCTTCTCTTTTTCCATCCTGCATAATTTATGTTAAACCTTCAGACAAAAAGTATGGAATTAACATTAAGCCAGCCATTCATCACCTCAGTTACTTTCTTGGCTCTGGTCTTCCCTCATCTCCCTATTTTGTTTGGCTTGTCTGTTTTGGTTCCATTCTCTCTGGGCTGCCCCAGAGCTCTTTTGTGTTGAGTGCTTTTAGGAAACAAGTTGTATAACTTTATCTGATACCTGTGAATGGCACCTGCTCAGTGAGCGGATTCTTTGTGTCATTTCTGGCCAGAGTTCCGTCCCTTCTTCTTAGTCACTCACTTGACTCAGCCTCCTGCAGTCACAAAAGGTGAGACCAGCTGGGTGAATTCAGATAGGCATTAATTAAAGTTCTGTCTTGGTTTTGCATTACAGAAATGATGTTTTAGGAGAGGTTGGCGATTTTCTCTGTGTCTGACAGAAAAAACTAATTAGTGGTGGCTTTGAGATTTGATAGTCTGTTGAACTACTAAGAAACTGTACATGCTTTTTGTGAAAAATATATGTTAAACATGAAAAACCTTGGGAAATCTTGGCCAGGAAATCTCAAATTAGTGAACCAAAACAAGTGCAAGTTCTTAAAAGCAATACAGATATTCCTCTTTGTGTATCACATGTCTCCAGAAGGGAAATTTTGGTCCTCTTTGGCCCATACTTTAACTCTTGGGATGTGTAACTTGTCAGAGTTTCCAGGCTCTTTTCCTGCCAGAAGTAGTGGTGTATGTGTCCTAGAGAAACTCTGGCAAGCATTTGCTTTCTGCAGTGATGATACTGAGAGTTTTTCTTCACTGCTCTGGGTTCAGAGTGTTAACAATTGTCTGTATCACAAAATGCTTGTCTTTGTGGTTTTATTACTGTCTCGTCAAAGCGCTAATGGTTCTTTAAAGTCGGCTCTGTCAAATATATTTTATGTAACAAATGTTGTTGGCCTCTCAGTGAAAAGGCAGAGCAAGTTATTTTTAGCAGGTAAACCAGATGAGTTTCCCAATAACTGTTTCTAACTAATTATGAGTAAGGAAGAGTTCATGAGACAGGGAAAGCAAACTTGAAAGCTATAAATAGAGACACGTGGGAAGACAGTAGAGAATTGTTTCTCAATGCTGTTCATGGTAATCAGAAAGAGTGAGAAATGGCTGTCTTGCTTTGTTATTCAAAGAGGGAGGTGTGCAAATTTGCATAATTTCCAAATGTTGGAAGACTGATCTGAAATTTTGACATTAATGCTAATTTGGAGTACTTCATATTTTTCAGCTGAAACCCATCTAATTTCTTTCAGTAGCTCCTCAGCACATTCCAGGAAACTTTCTTAAATTCAATAGAAATTTGATAAATTTGGAACTGGGAGCAAAATCTTATGCCGATTTTTCCTTTCACTATAACCAAGTCTTACTTCTAGCACCCATAATTCTTATGTTTTACAGGCTAATACAGTTTTAAAATGCACTTTTTACTTTTGTTTGCTGTTTAAGTGTGACTATATATTTTTTAAATTGCTGAGGTGCATTCTTCTGTCACTCTATTACTCAGATATATCTTTTAGTCTGTTTTCTTAATCCTCAATTTATGCAGATTTTTTGTTTTTTTTAATGATTATATTATCAATGTGGAATAATCCTTTTAGCTCCTAGCTCCTCATATTGGTTTTGTTTATACAGAAAAAAATGTAATTAATTTTACTCTCCACTTGAGGAATTTGAAGTTCTACTGAATATACATGGAAAAGGCTGGAAAATTATCTATTCAGGAAAAAAGAAAATGCGGACTTGTGTGGGTAATTACACATGTGATCTTTCCATACAGCACGAAAATATCTGGCTTATTGGAATATTTCCAAGTTATTATTTTAGATAAATTTTCATAAACTGTATCAATGAACTGAATGACCAAGCAATCTAATGATGTCTAGATTAATATTGATGAAAACTGAATTTTCTCACTAAAAACACAAATCTGTCATTAAGACAACATCTGCCCATAAGTTATGGTTAAGAAATAGCACACCACCAAAGCACACCGGAACAAGAGAATGATTATCATTCAGCAACTCTTGGCTTTTAAAATGGTGTTTTCCTCTGAAGACACAAGACAGCCAATAACTGCTGCTTGACAATTCTCCCTTAATGAGTTCCTTATTGTGAAATAGCCTTTCACCGATAAGGTAATTCCAAAGCATAGTTTAATTAAGTTTTTCCTGCCTTTGCCAGCTCTAGTAGTTACACTGAAGTGAATGAGTTTTTATCTGCCTTTTCTCAAATGCTGTGACTCAAGTTAAGGGTTGTCAATACTCATCAATGTATTGAAGGGATCTGTCAGATGCAGTTTCCTTCAGAGTGCAATTTCTGTAATCTATAGCTCATTATATGTGTTAGAGCATCTAGAAAAATGTAGAAAGAACCCACTTGTAACAATGCTCAAATATTTTAGCCTTTATCTTTTCTCTTTTCTGTTTCTCTTTTAGGGTCAACTTCCCTCTACGAATAAAGGCTCTTCCGAGGGAAACTATGCTGACAATAAAACTACTGGGATTAAACAGTACCTCTAAAAATACAGAAGTTCTTGCTTGGACATGCTTCCCATTGTATGCAAAAGAGTAAGTTTGGTTTTGTATGACCTAAAGAAAAGATCATTCTTGAATAGTGTTGCACTTAACCTGAGAGAAATATAAAAAGACAAAATTGTTCATTTCAGGCCTCCTGTAATAAGACTGAGAGGGTCACTTACAGCAAACTGCTTTTGATGTGCCAGTAAGAACCCCAGCAACGGGTCTCCCTCTCTTTTTTTCTCCCCTCTCTTTTTTTCTCCCCTCTCTTTTTTTCTCCCTTCTCTTTTTTTCTCCCGTCTCTTTTTTCCTCCATCTCTCTTTTTTTCTCTCTCCCCCTCCCTCCCTCTCAGGTTGTTTTTTTTTTTTTTTTTTTTTTTTTTTTTTTTTTTTTTTTTTTTTTTTTTTTTTTTTTTTTTTTTTTTTTTTTTTTTTGCTCTCACTCACTTTCACTCTGCTTAAATTGGGACAGTCAGTGGTGACCACAATGAGCACTTTTCACTCTCCACACCACTTTAGAAGCTTTCTTCTCTTTTCTAACCACATCCTTCTGCACACTACACAATGTAACAGTGCTTTAAAGGTGCTTCTACTTTCAATGTCTCTGCAGTGTTGTACAAATATACATGGTAAAGTTTCTGCAGTGCTCTAAATATGTTTCACTGAGAAATTTGAATTTAGACTGAGTCTTTGCAGTGATAGGAAATTTTTATTTAGGCTCTATAGCCCTGCAATACCCTCAGTGCAACAGAGGGATATGTTCAAGCCCCCCAAGTTTCTGCATTAGCATCCACTCCTAAGGTTATCTTGCTCTCCTTATCCTCTTTCCTTATCTTGAGACATCTTGATCTCCTTCTCTATATGGTGGCAATCACTGCTCAGAACAAAATAAAACAAAAAATCTGACTGCATGTACTAATTTTCTGTATTTGAAAGACCTTGTGCTTCCTTGAACTTTTAATCTGAGAGGTGTAGGAAATTATTTGGACTGGGTTAGATGCTTTTTCCATCTTTTCAGAGAAAATTCAAGGTTACTCTGTTCTTTTGTGACTTAGTGTTTAGAGCACTTAGCTCGAAGGAAGGAAAGAAGCATGAATCAAATCTCTGCTTCAAGGATTGCTGGGACAATTTATTCAATTACTTTTCTTTCATAGTTAGCCTTAAGAAGGGCACTTCACTCTTCCCTTGTGTATGTATTTTTAAAGAAAGCAGGAAATATGTTTGAGGCATGATAGCTTAATGAGGGAACATTTACCCCATTTACCTCCAAAGGTTCCCATATGAGAATTTCATTCTTGAGGACCTGTGTTGTTCTGGAGGTTTTCTTCTTTTTCATAATTCAAGCCCGAAAGGAATAACTTTTGGAAGGCCTGAAAATCCTCAGCTCCCTGTGAGGTATATCTTTTCATGTATGCCATCAGAGCAAGCACATTGGTTTTTGTTAGGTAGATCCCCACACCACCCTGACAGTTTCAGACCTTTAAAAAATGCCTCTGTTCTTTCCTGGAACGCAGAATGAACACAGTGAAGGGGGGATGGAGGGCTGCTTTCCTTTCATTTGCTGTGTAATTGGAGAGATCACTGCTGAAGTGACCCTTCAAAGCAGAAATCAAGGTTGAGTTCCTGCAGGAATGATTTAGGAATAGCATGCTCAACACCCCCTAATCTGATAGCTGTGTCATTTGCAATTACAGTAATTACTACCACAAAGAAGCCTGAATGCCTTTTTCTCCTTTGGCCAACCACAGCTCCATAGGATTATTCATTCTCTGTGATTTCAATTGATAGACAGACTGGGTTGAAAATAAGAATTGCCCTGAAACTCCCTTTGCTGCAGGAATGCAACTAAACTTCCAGACTTATTTCAATAGAATACTTCTGAATTTGGAAGTATGTACCAAGAAAAGATTTGTACCTCCAGTGTCATGCTAATATGTCAAGAGCACCTTGTATTACTGCAAGGATTATGGTATTAAGGTTTTTAAATAACAAACTCTGTGAATGTGTGTAAAGAGATTAAAGAAATCTGACCAGAAAATCTTTGACAAAACATTTCTAGCTTGGAAAATAACACTTTCTCAAAATAAAACTTTCCTCAGAGGTGAATTTGAGTTCTAAAAAAGTCTTAGCATTCTTATGTCTAGAATTTAATTTACTGGAGAAAGGACAGGAATAAGCTTTTTGAAGAAGCCAATGGCCCTGAGGTATTTGCCTAGGTCATCAAACGTCCTGGTTCAAATCCTTGTCCTAGTTGGTCTTTTCTCAGGGTCAGTGGAGATAAGGACACTCTTTTCCTCTTTTCTTATTTGGATGCTTGGTAAAAAGAAAAAAAAATTTGTTAAACATTGGAAAAACACAAGTCAAACCTTTTTTTAAAATACTGTTCCTCATTCCTGTCCTGTCAGTTTTAATCATTGTCTGATTAAGACCACAGAAATTCTATTCAAAGTTATTTGGCTTATGTTAAAGAGAAGGAAAAAAAAAAACAGTTTTGTTTTATTCCAAGGTATTACTTAGAATCTTGATCAGTTGGGGCAAAAGAACCCATATTAAAAAGTCTCTGAATTTGCTCCTCTTCTTAAATTTTATATCTAATTTCCTTTCCCAAATAATTATTTTCATTGTACAGTTGCATCCCTTCTTTGTATTTTAATACTTTGCATTTAATTTGGACTGAAGATTAAAAAATATGAACTTAACATTTTTACAAATTCTTTTCATCTGTTTCAAGAGGTGTGAAGTTTCTCATGCATTTGAACATGACCATGTTAAAGTCTCTTGTCAGATCAAAGGCCTGCAATTATTTGCTGAGATTTTGCCACTCCCATTCTCCTCTAAAAAATACTAATCAGATTGGATGAAAAGTGTATATATATATATATATATATATATAAAGAAACAAATTTTGCTCTTTATTTAAAGCATATTACTTATTTTTTTTTATATTGCAATCCCTTCTTTTTACCTGGCTCATTTTGAAACCACACAATACCTAAAAACTTCCTCAAGAATTTGGCCACCTTTAGGGGTTTTGTTGTTGCTAAAGGCTTGTCAGTGAACAGATGTTTAGCAAACTTCAAATTTGCTTAATTTTAATTATTTCCTGAATTCTAGTGTTATCTTGCACTTTTCTTACATTTTTCTTGCAGTGTGCAGATTTATAACATGATTACCTGCTGAATACACACTGTAGTCTTAGCCAAACATGTGTTGGGATTCCTGCTTATCAAACTTACTTCCTGAAAGTATTCTCCAAGCGTTGCCTAAATAGAGTTGTTTACTCTAAAATCATTGCTTGTAAGCTATTTTTGTGACTTTATATTTCTGGAACAAAAATTATGAAGTAATCATGAATGTAAATGCAAAATTTATCCTACAAATATAGAGAAGCTATTTAAACTAGAAACTGTGGGGATAGAGGTTGTGGTCCTTAAAAATGTCTGCAGTACATTTAGCATTACCTTGTGGTTGAAAATTGTCTCTAGTTTGAATTTTCTAGTATTTGTAATTATAATAAAGGAGTTATTATAATTACAAATAGGAGTATCATTCAATTGCAGAATTAAGACTGCTTGAGCCGTAATATATGGGAAACAGTTTTTTATAGATTATAGCAGCTTTACATTTCCTTTAAATTTAACCTCAGCTCTGAACTTCTGGGACTTATAATGTCAGGTTTGAGGACGCTTACATTATTTTTACACAGTACTTTGTCATGATTTTCCCTGTTTATTCAGCCTAAGCAGTAACCTTCCTCTAATGTTATATACATTTCTGAATGAACATGGTAATGAGTGTTGCTGCCTGCTTGCCCAGCAGGTGAGCCATCATATCTGCTTTTCTCAGCCTTGTCAGAGAGTTGACTTTCGACAGCAGCCCTAAATCAGTGCCAGTAGAGCCTTTGCTGGTGCATCTCTATCAAGAAGTCTCATTAGATGCTAGAGGCAGATCAAAAAGGGTTCGCAAGCCTGTGCGCCAACCTTCCATTCCTTCACATCAGAAACTGCGTTAGTCTCTTGGGCTGAACAGTTTAGTGATTCAGAGCTGATTAACAAACCAGAAATCCATCATTTTGGGGCAGCTGGAGAGTTACAATGTCCCCCACCATTCCCCCACATTACTCTGGCTTCACTGATTCTACCACAATTTTGGTGTTTTTGAATCAGACAGAGCAAGGAGCAAAGCTTTCCTTTTGTGGGGAAAGTCTGCCAGGGGACTTCAGGGCATAAGGTTGACTTCATCAACTTAGGATAACTTGATCTGCTTTTAAATAGCAATGTAGTCTTCTGTAGTAAGACGGGAAGGTTATTTTTGCTCCAGTAATAAACAAGAGAAGGGAATCTGTGTCATTCCAAAATGAATAAATGGCAGTAGGCACAGAGCAGAATGTTCGCTTTCTGATCTGCTTGATAGTGAAGTTGTTACATGAAAGCCATTTTCTGTGTCTGTGATCATTATAGGAGTCTTTAAAAGGTCATTGCCCTCACCTCAGAGATGGAAAAAACTGGAATGGCAGGCAGAATAGGGAGTGACCTTCCTGAGCTCATCAACAGAACCAAGCAGCAGGGAGAAGACTGTTCACTAAAGGATATGGTTATCATGATGATAATTCCTTCATTTTCTGAATGGATCCTGCACTCTCACCTGCTTCTTTTTCTAAAAATATAAATGGATCTTTTCCCTGTTTCATTTATGCACTTGTTGCTGTTCCATTTCTGTGTCCAAAAGCTGACTGTTCTGAGGATTGTTGACTGTGTCTGCAGTGCCCCAAAGTTTGCTGGGTGTGCTGATTTGGGCTGAGGTAGAATTAATTTTCTTCTCAGTGGCTAGTATGGAGTTGTGTTTTGGATTTATGCTGAGCACAGGTTTGATAATGTAAAGATGATTTTGTTACTGAGCAGGGCTTGCACAGAGCCAAGGCCTTTTCTTCTTTTCATGTTGCCACACTGGCAAGGAAGTTGGGGGCTGCTGGTAGGAGACATGGCCAGGACAGATGACCCCAACTAACCAGAGGGATATTCCAGACCATGGAACATCATTCTCAGGGTAGAAAATGGGAGGGATAAAGGAGAAAGAGCAGAGAGATTTAGAGTGGTGGTGTTGGTCTTCCCAAGACACTGTTACCTGTGATGGGACCCTGCTCTTCTGGAGATGGCTGAACACCTGCCTGCCCATGGAAGAAGTGAATTAATTAAGAAATAATTCATTTCTTTCTCTGCTTTTTTGCATGACTTTTGCTTTCCTATTAAATTTTCTTTATCTCTAGGAAGCCCATCTGCCTGCAAAAATTCTTCTTTGTCTCCTGGACAGTCTTTAGCCACATCTGCTCTAGATGTAGATGAGTTGAAATAATGAGCTTAGGAAAGGTCTCAAACACATTTACAGAAACTCTGAGTCCTATACTTCTTGCATTTCTCTGCACAGGTTTCCCAAGAAAAAAAAATCCACTGTATATATTCTTTTTTAAAGACCCTCATAGTTTTACAGAGCAATATTAAAGTGTTTAGCAGTAATGAAAGCTCAAAAGGGTAATTTAGTATTCATGTTCATTTACTCTCAGCTACTCCTCTTCCTTCTAACAAAAGTGCCAATTAGTTCAAATTATGATGTAAATCTTTGTCAACAAAGGATTAATTTAAGAGATGCAACTCATTTATTAAAGATCATCTGAGTACAGATCACAGGAAAACCTCTTTGAATTACCATTGATCACTTCCTCATTCTCATCATTTACCCAAATGAGAGAGACTTCATATCACACAATTGCTTTCTTCCAATTAGCTTGTTCTTATTACAGCTCTTTTTCTGCCTCCATTCCTTTGCAAATACACCTACAGCTGCAAAGAAACCTTCAGAAAATAACTGTCTTTAATCCTCCTGAGCTCTGTTCTCACAATAAAGTAAAATGTCTGTGCTAACAATACAAACAGGTTGAGAAGACAAAAAGAAAAATTAGTCCTGAATTAGGTTTATACTCATTTATGTTGACTGTAACAGTCACTTTCTGAGAGTTTCTTAAATCTTCTTCAGATGACTTTAAGCAATTTATTTCATTTTGGAATTCAAAAGGTACTTTCTTTACAGCAATGTAAACTCATGCTGCGATCAAATAGTCTATCTGGTGTCTCTTGTACCTCTGACATCTTCCTCCCAGGTGAAAGGTGGGCTTCATTTACCTGGCTGGCTCTTTCTGCTGCAGTATCTAGTGATTCTCTCAGTTGTCTTGACTGAGCAGTGTTCAAAAAGATCTTAGTAAAAATTATTTGTCAGTAAAAGAAGAGGTGCTGAACATAATCAAATTTCCAACCTTATTACTCATTAAGATATAGACAAATTAAGGGGTAAGCCCAGTATATAAATATGGCTAAGCCCATATTTATATGCATAAAGCCCATAAATTCCTTTATTGAGGTACTGCAATCTAAATTTGAGTTTTGTTATGCTTAGAAATTACACTCAAAATTTCTGATTTTAGTCAAGGTCTCTTGACTGGGTTGTGCTGACCTGCCAGATCAGACTGGGTTTCTAACCTGCTGCCCACATGCATGCCTGTTTTACTGATAAGCCTTTCTTGTAGGTATAGTGCTAAAACTGGTGCTCCAGACCATAACCTTTCATCTGTCCAAAAACTCCACGTGGCACATGTGGTGCAAACTATCCCACTCAAACTCCTTTCAGCTCATATCATACTTTCCCCTCCTTGCCACTTACACATAAAATCAGTTAGGATCCCTTATGGATTCAGTAGATAGCCATGAGTTTCTTCTTTTTGTGGAATAAATATGCTGCCCTCCACCTTTATCGATGTTTCACAGTCTCTACCATATTTGCCCTCAAAATTAAATCTTGTGACAGAAATATTGTGTTGTATTATCCTTATTTTTACAGCTGGCTTAAAGGGCAGCCCCTGTCAGACAAGAAGCCAGTGGTAAAGTGCAGAGCTGACTCAGAATGTCTTGGCAGAGTGATTTTTTTTCATGAACCTTGCAAATGCAGAGACGCTGCTGTGGCGGTGAGGCCATCGGGATGCAACCTCTGCTGGCTGAGGCCAGATTTTTTCTAGTCACATAAAGATAAAGGGTTTGCTCTCCTTTAGCTTTTCCTTTGAGCTCTGCAGTTCCATGTTCTTCAGTGGGGTTTCAGTGGTTACCAGTGCAGTGTTTCTCCCTGTGTTTCCTGCAGGAAGCTGATCCGTGGAACCGTGCTGCTCAGCCTGGCGCCGTGCAGCACACTGCCCACAGCAGTGATCACCCCGGGCATCTGCAGCACTGAGGCACCAAACTCAGCCACCCTGCAGGTGAGAAAGCCAGAAAACAAAGCAAAGGCTCATTTTCTAACAAAGTACAAGGAAAATGGGTGTTCCCACAGCTCATCGATGTGGGAATCCAGGGCTTCCCTCTGGCTGTCCTGGCTGCTCTGCGACCCTGGCAGGTCTGGAACCCCCCTGAACAGAGCCCCCAGAGACACTGTCTCTGATCTCTGTCCATGGAAAAGAGTTTTCAATCTTACAGGAGGAACTACAAGCTCTGAGTGTTTGATATAAGTAATTATTAAGTGTGGCACGGGTGCAAAAGTAAAATTTTAGGATTCTAGATTAGGGGTCCAAAGGGGACAAGATGGAGGAAATTGGGTGTGTTTTGTCCTTTTTCTCCTTCTTCATGCCCTCCATGTTTCACTGTAGTGTTGGCATTTTTCTGTTGGTTCAGGCTGGGGACACACTGTTCAGTGTAGGTGACAGATATTGGCACATTATTGTAAATCCAGCCCAGGGAGTTTCTGGTATTTAATGTTTGTAACATCCCACTGAGGGCAGAGCCCCACATGCTGCCCTGCAGGACAGAGCTGCGGCAGGGCAGCAGAACATGTTAGAGATAAACAGAATAAACAACCTTGGAACCAGCACAGACCAATTATGGCTTCTTCTTTGGCAACGGGGCAGAAAGACAGACTTTTTAAAATCTCAGAATCATCAATACCACAGATTTTGACACATCGAGACCACCCAAACTCAACATCCTATTTCCATTACAGTCACTCAAAGAAATACATCAGGTCTGCATGGTAGTTTTGTCACCTTTCCAGGCTGAGTTAGCAACTGGGTATTTCGAGGACAAAGCCAATTGTTTTCTATATTTAAAAATCCTAATATCCCTTAGCAAATGAAACATAAAAGCAAATAATACAGATAAATGAGCCTGGCCTAAAAATAACCTTGTTTTAACAGACAAGCAAATGGGGATTCTCCAGGCTGAGGAGTTCAGTCAAAGACCATGCCTTAAAATAACTCCCCCTATTAATAATTCAGGGAAGTTGAGACAGTAAATGGCTATTAATTTCTATCTACTGGAAGGACTGAAGCAGGATTTCTCATTCTGCACCCCCCCCATTTTCAGTTATTCCCAGATACATAGCAGTATCACAATGTGTGAACATGCTGGAAATATTGTAAATATATATTTTCATAGAAAATCTAGGCTTGGGTTGGAAGAGACCTTAAAGATCATCCAGTTTTGCAAGGTGACTGAGTGTTTTATAGGGAATAAATCTGTTAACTTTTAGAAGAGTGATGCATATCAAATGCTTAAAAGAAAAAATAGATACAGATAAGACAGTTTGGTGTGCATTAATAGACCAAAGCTGGGTGCAAATTGTGCTGAATTTTGAAGAACAATCTGAGTTTTCATATAAATCTACTCAGATTATCAAATACCTCGAGCTTTGTAGTTTTGGTTGAATGTTTGCTTTCTCTGTATCTTAAAAAACATTATCATTAATTTATGACAGGTGTGTGTAAGAATAGAAAATTGGTAGATGCTGCACAATATATTTACAAATTCAACATCCAGACAAGAAATAAGGAATCTGATTTCCATCTTTTGCAGTGACAAACTACGCATCTGAGATAGCCTTACTTTTGAAAAAATAGAACAAATCTATATTAATGAAAGTTTTAAATTTGAGAACCATCTCATTAAAAAAAAGAAAAGAAAGGAGGCAAAAATTAAGAACTGGCTTCAGTTTTGAGCTTATGCATCTCTAATAAAGTTGTAATATGTTGGCTGAAATTTTCCCAGGAAACTTAGGTTCCACTGATTTCTGTGGATGGAATTTATCACCAACAATTTAAATAACGTAGTACATACAGTAAGCATCCTCAAATAATTATTCCCCCTTCGTTTTGTCATACTTTTTATACTCCCTGTACTATCCAAGATAGCATTTATTGACGCTTGTATTAGAGATCACACATTGCTAAAACACATCTGTCTTTTTTATTTATCTTTCTTTCCTTGTATTTTAAAAAAAAGATTGACTTCCCAGAAACTGATTTGGAGTTCATTAAACCTGAACCTGAAGAAAGAAGAGGTGATTTTGTAGAGCCAACCCAAGAGTGCCTGAAGCACATTGCAAGACTTTCACAGAAACACTCCCTCTTGCTGTAAGTTGTCCCCACCTAACCCTGCTGGTTCTTGCTGTGTTGTGCCTACCCTATCGATCACAATTAAAAGTATCCAATTTGTTAAAAACAAAATTTTCCTCTGAAGGAGCCTAGCTTGGCTGATTTGAGAAGTAACACCTCTAAATGAAAGAATAGATCACAGCAAGGCCTGATAAGGCCCTGGAGGTGGCAGTGTATTTTACCACTTTAGAAAAGGCTTGGTTTTCCCTTTCTATGGCTAGATCTTTTCATGTCTTTGAGGCAAGAAACTAATTTTTCATTCAAAACATAAGATTTTCAGGTAATGCAGTACATCTGTATCAGTTTTATCAAGAACACCTTTAGGTTCTATAGAAATTGGCCTCTTAGTTATTAAACACTCAAACTTCAGATGGAGCTGTGAAACGGCTTTTGAAAAATCTCTTTCAGGTGATAAGCAAGGAAAGAAATATGAAAAGTTCAGTTTTCATTGAAGGTGGAAAAAACAAAGTGGAACAAAGCACACTCTGAACTGAGGTATATTAGTATGCTCTTCTACATGAATGTTGTACTACCAATTAGGATTATGTACCTCATAAAGTAATTTTGGGTGTAATCAGAGTGGAGTTTGGAACACAGGTGCTTACAGAGAGCCATTATACTAATGACAGTTAATTGTGTGAATTAATCCTCCATCAAAGGTCAAAAGGCGCATTAGTTTTGCAATAACTAAATAACTTAATTCAGCACTCTCAGTGGGATATGATGTATCTGTTAAGAAGATTTTTCTGTGCTGATTTCTGTGTTGGTGGTTTGAGGGGTTTTTCTTAAATTAATTCATTTACAAAAAAGAGGGAGAGGCAAATTTTCTGTTGTATGTATAACTCAACTTTTACAAAATGCAAAATGTAAAATGCAAAAAGGCAAAATGTAAAATTATTTTTATTGACCACAGGATCTGTGATTTGAGTTTTTTTTTTTTTTTAATTCTGTTTTAAAATGTGAAAGGGATGTCAGTGTTTTATTATGAAGAGCCACTGTGACAGTGAAATTTCCACCTACAAAATATGCTTCAGAATGATTTAGGGAACTTCAAGCCCAATGCCTGTGACCTTTGTTACCAGAGCAAAAATGTGGTTTCATTAAGAAGGAATAAGATCATTAAGAAATTAGCAAAGTACAAAGTAATTTGTCAAAGAAGACAGCTCATGCCATTTGTCTGCTGCTTAAATGCTTGATGTCCATTTTATTGAGAATGCTGCATGTTTTTTGTCTTCAAGACTCAGGAAGGACACAGTAGATAAGAAAAGTGTGCAGAGAGGGGCAACAAATATCATGAAAGGGCTTAAGCAGCTCTTTGATCAAGAGAAGCTAAAAAGGCTGAGGCTATAGTTTGGAGAGAAGACTAAAGGATGTCTATGTATGTACAATTAATTTTTTAAAAACCATGACGATGATAGACAAAATAAATGCCTCCTCAAATCCTATAATATTTTAACTTAGGGGCATTCAATGAAACAAGTAGCAAATAATTTCTCAACAAATGCTTCTTTAGACAGTCAGTGGTGATCTTTTAAAATCTGCTGTCACAAAGCTGTGAAGGCAGATGACATCACCTCATTCAGGAAGGCTGAACAAAAATTCATGGATAAGTTTCACAAAGGACCAGCAAAGGGGGGATCCTATAACATCCATAATACAACAATCTTGTGTTCTGTGGGAATATTAAGGGAAAACACCACTGAAAGTCACCAGTTTGGAGTTGAGGCTGTGCTAAGTTCAGTTACAGGTCCTTGGAGGAAAGGCAGGGGTAGTCCTGTGTTTTCCCATAGTTTGTTGTTTTCTGTTCTCCTATCTTACAGGCAAAGCTGGTCTAGTAAATTAACCATCAAGGGGAAGGGTAACATATCTGGGGTTTGAATGAAGCAATTCCATTTTTTTGTATTTTGTTAATCCAGCCTGTAAATTTTGTTGTATCTGTATCAGAGGAATTCTTTTAGCCTTTCCATTCATGAGATAATTTCTCTTTAAAAATTATAGCATGTTTGTATTCCAACACATTATTGCCATGATATCTGAAGATTTCTTCTTTTCTTTTTTTTCCATATGTCAAGAGAGGAATCTAGGCAGCTTTTTAGTGGCAGTATCATTCCATGATGATGCTCCAAATAAGTGCGTGTTTGTGTCAGAAGACACAAGAAACCTTCTCAGTCTGTCAGGATCCTTCTGTTCATTGTACTGCAAGCAGAGGGAATAAGTGAATGGACAGAAAATTCTTAAACCAATGGTAGAAAAGGAAGAAACAGTGGTTAAAACCAGACAGCTGCATGCTTGTTGAATCCTGCAGTGTTATAAGTCTAACACTGCCACAAAACTGACAGCACAGACAGCCTGATTCTGTTCCTCCTCTCTGCAGGGTCAGGATCCAAGTCTGCTGCTGGAACAGATGAAAATACTATATATATTTTTATATACAGTATCCAAAAATTGATTGCCCCTGTAGCTGTGCTTATTCTGTATCCAGTAGCTGGACCCAGACCTCCCTGCTCTCCCCAGCTGCTGACACCCTCAGCATAAAAGAAACCACATAAAACACATTAAAACCCTCAAGGTTCACAGCTACACTGAGCTGGTTGTTGGCACTTGGGCCCCTTCCTGGTACATGGATGTGTATCTGCTCCTGACATGGGGTCTTCCCAGCAGCTCAGACTCTTGTCTTTCTGGTAGGTGGCTCAGACCACTGGTCCCTGTGGCCAGCATCTCCTGGATGTTGATTAAGGAAGGAGTTGTTGAGTGGGACTGAAGGAAGGGAAGGGAAGGGACCCACGTGGCTCTTGTGCTCCTCACAGTCCCTGACTCGGATCTTTGGCATCATCACCAAGCCAGACCAGAGAGAGCCAAGAGGAGACCTCACTGGTTACTGCCAGCTGCTTTGGCTGACTTCTGTAAACATTTCAGATGTGAGCTTCTGATTCCTTTTAGGATTAATGTGTTTGAAATACAAGCCCCAGAAAACTCTGCATCTGAGATTAAGTTGCTCTTTGAACCCGATGCAGCCTGCTTGCAGTGTGTCCCCATGAAAGAATGGGAGACTGCTTTGAAGCCAGAATCATGCCAGTGTGGTTTGTGCCATCTTTATTTCCTTCATTCATAATTTTCCTTCTACCTTGCATTTCCCTCTCTTCCAGCTTCCCCTGTCCTTTTTGCCACTTGCCTGGAAAGGATCTATCTTGCCTACCAGTGGTCACAGGAATCCTGTTGTAATGAGGTGTGATTAGATCTGCTTCCAGCTGGGTGAATAGTGGAAAAGATCTTATCTAGTCTGTTACTGAAAGATAAACTTTAAAGTGAAAATCAGTGCTGGGGGAAGACATTTTAATTTTCTATCTTTGCTGCTCTCTCCTCTTTTTCCCATTTGTCTTGTTCTCCTATAGTATTGAACATGAACAACAGAAGCAGATCAGAAGCATTTAAATTAATTTTTTGCTCTTTCCCCCCTCCCACCCAAAAAGTAACAACACCAGCTAACCAGGCCTTCTGAGAAGCTGTTTTCTTCATTTAGCTAAAGGGGTAATCAAATCCTGAAAAGAAAACTGCTGAATTATTTTGGTTATAAGGTATTGTAGTTTTATTTGTGTTAAACAGAAGGCTATATGTTTTAATATATATCTCATATTGAGGGAAATTTAGATATACCACCACCTAAAAAGCTACAAACTTAACTTGTATCAAAAAAAGAGGTTTAAATAGCATCTTAACCCTATTGAGACAAAGAAATGCCCTTATTTGCTTAACAATCTTCAGATCCTATATGTATGCAAAATATTTTTTCTATCTTAAATGTTTATATAAACTTTGTTACAATAAGAAACTTAAAATCAAAACTTAAGACGCTCTTTCCCCACCCAGCCTTTCATTTCATCTCTGATTTTAAAGCATGGAAAGAGAAAATGGCATTGCCTCTGAGTAAAGTCAGAAGGAGAAATCTGTTATTTAGCAAACCTGATACGAGGATTGATTTCTTATCACCCTTTGCAAGCTCAGTAGAAGCTTTAGCTGCTTTAATCTGAACAACAGACTGTCTAGTTTGGAGGATGCTGCTTGAAAGCTGAAATATCTGCTTAAAGTTACCATTGGAAAGAGTTCCTCTAGCTGAACTGTCCTGCAGAATGTCATCCAAATGCACAAGATAACCAGACAGGCAATGAAGTTTTAGGCCTGCTTTTATCTCTTTTTCTGTGTGTGACTTTTTCACATGATCACAAAGGCATCTATTTATTGTCACAGAAGACATGCTACAAGTTCTGGAGTTGTTTCTTGAAGTCATGACCACAGTGACACTTTTCCTGAACTGATCACTGAAAATCAGGATTGGTCGCATAGTTAAGTTCATCTTCTGCATACATTTATGACCTTCTTCTCCTAAAGGGAAGAAATTAACACTCACTCAGGGAAAAAAAAAACATGTCCATCTTTGTGCTGCTGCTCTCTGTTCCTAAACACTTGGCAATTCAAAATTGCAAGGGAAAAAAGTTTTCTAGTGCCTACAGAGCCAAAGAAACTCATTTCTATGAGCTGTGAATGACACAATCTTGACAGTTAGAGTGGGGCTAGGATTTTTTTTTTTTTTTTTTTTTTTTGGCTAAGAATGTCCCAAAACATTGCAAATAGAAGGAAGACAACCTTGGAAAGAATGTAAACACTTGGATTTTGAGCCCTGTTTACACATCTGGATAATTAAATGTTTATCTGGAAGCAAACTATTTACTTGCTGCCTTCCACTAGATTCCTCACATCTCATTCTGAAATATTTAGAGTTTTTTTAAAGTCACAATTGTTTTATGCTATTAATTAGCTGCACTGCCAACCTGGTCAAATATGACCAAGAAAACCAATATTCTTCTTGATTTGAGTAATAATTTGTATGAACTGAGGATCAGTTTGCTCTTTCTCTATTTCTCTCAAACTCTCACAAAGGGTTTGCTTTTGAAGGCTCTGATAATCAAATTAAGGCCATTGTCTGAGCTTGTCTCTCCAGGGAAATTTATTTTCCTGTTTTCTGATGTGTCAGAACCTGAGATTTAATATGCATGAGGCAAAGACATCTGAATTGTTGACAATTCAGATTATATAAGTCAGAAATTGTTGTGCTGTGGTGAAATATGGTGTGATGACTGACCATTTTATCAATATGACATTTAGATATGTAGTATCTCTGTGAGGAGTCTGGTGTATTGCATCCTTTTTNTTTTTTTTTTTTTTTTTTTTTTTTTTTTTTTTTTTTTTTTTTTTTTTTTTTTTTTTTTTTGTTTTTTTTTTTTTACAAATACAGGAGTTCCAGGGAGCTTTCCTTTCCTTTTCCAAACTCCCATAAGCAATAGGGATAACCATACTCTGCATGTGTGTACCTGTGCTCGTGTTTTTCTGTATGTGCATAGATGTACCTAAACATTATTTTAAAAACAAATATGCTAAAAATAGACACGCCTACACTAAAGAGTCAAAACAAGGGCAGGAATGAAAGATAGAACTTGCATTGTTATGTGGCTAGTTATGAAAGTTAGAGATATTTGTAGCAGATAGATGTAACAATAATTTACCCAGTGACAACTGCACCTTCTTTGTCAAAAAAAAAAAAAAACAACAACCTACCAGTAAGAACAAACAAGCAACACCAACAATAGAGACAGCAGAGAAGAAAATTGAGAGTGCTTGGAATGTGAAATAATCATATATATATGTGTGTGTGTGTCTTTTGACACTTCATTTTTATATGACCTAAGGCTGACAGATCCAGAATATAAGTATCACTTTTCTTATAAAATCTGGTCTGCAGAAAATGATATCCTACCCAAAGGAAAACATGTACTTAGCTGAAAAGCAGTGTACTGTGTGACTTGGCCCCTCGGTACAATAAAGTTTGTTGCTACACAAAGCTTCAGGTGGTTTTAATTTCAAACTGAAATTTTCATCTTCATTTCCAGACTCTCAGAGCAACAGAGAAGAATCTTGTGGTTTTATCGCTACTCCTGCAATAACCAGAACTGCTCCCTTCCTCTGGTGCTGGGCAGTGCACCCAGCTGGGACAGAACCACTGTGTCAGAAATGTATGCCCTGCTGAGGGGATGGAGGTTTTCTGACCCTCTGGAGGCACTTGGGCTGCTGACTTTCAGGTAAGGGAAAATTACCCAGGTAGGAAAGTAATGCTTAGCAGAAGGATCAGGTGCTGGTTCATTCAGTGCTGCTCTTTGCTCAGCACACTGTCCAGGCTTGATGCACTGGCTGTGCTTCCTTTTCTCTGTGGGCCAAAGTGAAAATGGAGGTGCAGCTCTTGCCATGACCTTGAGTGTGCCAGCCATGTCTGCTTGGCTGAGAAGATTATCATTGTCACTGCTTTTAATGAAGGGATGGGACCATCTTTGGGCTAAGAAGGATTCATTGCTCAGATAAACATCCGTCTCAGGGAGGGGCTGTGAGATTTTGGAGGAGCAAGCAGTTGGTTATAGCTCAAAGTAGTCACAAGTTCTTTGCTACAAGGCAATATAGAACTTCCTAGTCCAGTAGACGCTTGCCACAAGGTGCATTTTGCTTTTCTAACCTACCACCTTTACTTAATTTTGCTGCACTGTGGATATTTTTGTTCAATAGGCTTATCTCTCCCATACATACATATGCTTCTATTATAACTTCTAAACACTTAGCTTAATTAGACCCCTACATTATAAACCCTTCACCATTTATCAATACAGTTTCTCACTTAAGGCATATTCTTACTTACAACTATAGAAACATAAGTTTATGATTTTTCTACTTGATGTCGGTATATTGTATTTTTACATCAATCCAAGCTTCTTCTAAGGCTGCAGATCAAACCCTCCAGTGTCTGTGGAAGTTTCTGTTCTTCCAGTTCCCACAGGAAGGAATGCTTAGCAGAAGGATCAGGTGCTGGTTCATTCAGTGCTGCTCTTGCTCAGCACTCTGTCCAGGTTTGATGCACTGGCTGTGCTTTCTTTTCTCTCTGGGCCAAAGTGAAAACAGAGGTGCAGCTCTTACCATGACCTTGAGTGTGCCAGCCATGTCTGCTTGGCTGAGAAGGTTTTCTATTTCTCAGGATAATAAAAAGATAATAAAAAGAGTATTTCATTCTCTAAAACAGATTCAGGCAGTTTCTGGTAACAGGTGATCAGTCAAATACTTAGCACTTGCACAGCACTCCATAACTTCAAATTACTGAACAGGCATGAGGTGAATAATGGGAGATAAGGAGGATTGAAATATATCTCTGGATTATACAATAATCTATGTAAATACCCACAGTCCCACGTGTGACCTATCTTTCTGAAGCAGATTGGATGGAACTTTGAAGTCAGTTGAATAAATTCTGTTGTGGTGCCTTGTGTTCCACCCCCACCTCTCACCCTGGGAGCTGATTGTTTGTCAGGGCTCTTGCTTGATGCTGGAGATAGCCCTACCCAGGATGTACCAGAGATGTCAGGGGACAGGATCTGTGTCAGCAGCTACATTCCCTCCAAAAACTTGGGAGGTATTTTGCATTAAGTGACCTGTAAAAACATTACACATGCCGATGAAATGCTTGAGTAAATTTGTTTTATCAAGTCATTGCTTGTCTTGGGTAAGCACAAGCTGCATCAGTTTTGAAATCTCAGTTCCATGCTCTACCTTTGGGAAAAAAAATAAACCTCCTCAAAAGCTTTACTTGGCAAATACACTGTGACTTGGTACACTTACTGCCAGATTATTAAAAATAGACCTTTGACAATCTAAAATGGATTATTTTCTCTGGATGCAATTTCCTAATACTTGTATCCCAGTTTCTATCTGAACTATTAGCAGTTTCACATGTTTGCATACATGTCTTTTTTTGTGTAGTGGGAATGGTGGAAGCAAAGATCCTGACAGATCAGGTCCTGAAGCATAATATTATTTTTCATTATTAAAGTATTAGGATCCAATTCTAATTTATAAAAGATTCATGTAGAAAGGTGTGTGTTGTCTTGCAAACTTCAGAGTAGAAAGAGAATTTGATAGGGTTTGTCAGGGCATGCCAGGCTTTTAGATCAGGCTTTTGCCCCATTTTGTTTTTGTGTCTGGGTGGCATTTCTACAAATCAAGATCTTGATTGTTCTTTGAAGATGCAGCTCTACATGAGGGTGTGGTGCAGAATATCAGCCTTTTCATGTGCAGAGAGTATTTGATATTACTTAGTCAGTTCCCCAGTTTCTCAATGTGCATCAGGTGCAGTGTACCCATTGTTCATTCTGGCTATATGAAGATTGCTGGCATGAAAAAGAGGGGGAAATGTCATTACTTCGTCCCTCTTGTGCCACCTTGGGTAGTGGTTGGCTCCTGCAGTTGTGCCAAAGAACAAGGACTTCTCTCCTGATCAGGATCTTAGATGGCTAGTCCCTTTAGTTTCTCACAGAAGATAATATCAATACAGTTGTTTGTTTTGTTGTTTTGTTTGTTTCTTTGTTTTGCTTCATGGTGACACTGCAGAAAGAAGTTCTGCATCACAAAACGGATTTTAGGAAAAAAAAATCTATCTTCCTCATATCCACAATATCTTGTTGGTGCATGAATACCTGGAAAGCTAGTCTTCAGAAACACAGAAATTATATTTCCTTAAAGATGCCTCAATTCAAAAATGTCTTGGATACATGCAAATTGAGAGAGTGGGTTGAAGGAGAGGAGCACTTTCCATATAAATTGATTTCTGAGGTTTATTCTCTTAGTTCTCTATTTCTCAGTTTTCTATAATTTTGAAAAAAGTACAGTAGTACTGGCTAGGGCCCAACCTTACTTCCCCCTTACCCTCACTGACTTTGGATCACAGGCTCTTTAACTGAACTGGTTTTGAACATTCATTCAACTCAATCCTGTTTTATGTTTGGCATTGACAACTCATCAACTCAGTTCCTCACTTCTATCATTCACGAAACAGCTCTCTGATTTCTTGTGATTGCTAAGACACGGCTGAAAGATCCAAGTTCATATAAAACATGAGCAGAATATAAAATAAATTCTCTCCATATATTCATGTCTATTTTAGGGACTTGTGTTGCCATCACTATCAAACTATGGGTAAGGAAAATGAATTAGTGATGATCTTTGTCTACAAATATTTCTGACAGGAGAAATGCACTAAATCAGCCCAAAAGTCAGTGTAGTGCATCCTCTCTCCAGTGGTGACCAAAAACAGCTAGCTACCCAGGGAACACAGTGAAAATGGGCCAAACATAGTGACACTGCTGCTCTCCCAGCTTTCAGTGTTCTGCAGCTTGGAGACTTCCTCAGACAGATTTTTTTGTTGTTGTTACAAGAGCCCTCTTGCATTTTTCTTCCATGATTTTTTTCCAAAGTAAAATTGATTCTGCATAAATAGTCAGCTTACAATCCTAAAACAAGAAGATCTGAAGCTTAGCTATATGATGTATTATTTCTGTGCACCACAATTTATCAATACCAAGAGTTTCCAGTCACTCCAGAATCTGGATGCTTTCTTTGGTGGAATTTCAGTTTGCAGTGTCTTTAAGAGAACCTGAATCTGTGCTGCAGGCATGTGCTCACTCTTTAAAAAGGGTTCTCAAAATCACTGTCACTTCTGCAAGTCTTGGCTTGGGAACTCTAAATTATCCTTCTTCTCAGAGCAAGAAAAAAAAGCAGTATCTGTCCTGCTGATTTAACTCAAACACCCATTGGTGAGGACAGAAAAATGAAAACCATTGGAGATGCTTGCTGGCATAGAAGGCAGCATCAGAGAGCTTAGGGAGGGGTATCACAGCCCAGCAGATCAAGCCCCCTTATCAGGAATTTGCAACTTTTTGAAATTTTGTTTTGTTCACCTCACAGTTAAATGTACCCCTTAATAGATGTTTCTTGTTCTTTGAGTGTATCTCTCTTGCTTATGCTCTTCCATTTTGCAGGCAACCCTCAAGGCAGGCAAATGATAAGATGCTCATTTATGCAGTGGAAAGGAAGAACTTTCATAAATAGAAAACACAATCACGGTACATTTCACAGATAAATTCAGTTGCAACCTTGAATCCAGCACTCGGAGCAAGTGCATTGTTTCTTAGAGCCCTAGAAGCCAATGCTTTAAAAAAAAGGAATTAAAAAAAACATTTATGTTTCTTTAATCAATAAAGATGCGATGGAGAGGATGGGAGGGGGAAGTGGAGAATGCAGATTTTACACTCTTACCTCTAATTTCAGGGAAGGATGGTTATAAGCTGTTGCCTGAAATATAAAATTATCCCTAAGGCAGAAGTTATAGAGATGGTCCCTCCTACTCAGAGCATCTTCTTGGTGCCATGTGCATTTTGCTGTTGATTTCACTTATTAAGTTTGGTAAAAAGCCAAGCTTTACTGAGTTAGATCTTTCTACAGCTGCATCCAGGGAAATAACACCAGTGCACTCCTTTACTTGGAGAATTTCCTTGATGACAGAAAGAAACCAAGGCAGGGTTAGCAGTGCCATCATTTATGGTGTGTTGCTAGCAGGCCAATGTTTTGTCTATATTTAGAATAACCACAGTTGGGAATTTTTAGTCAGGTTATCTTGCTATTCAAATTACTGCAAAGGAAAGTCCAAGCATATTCATTAATCAAACCAGCAAATGTCTTTTCAGCTTCTTTTTTTTTGGTTGTTGTTGTTCTGGACCATTTAGAGTACAGTTGCAGCCCTGTGAAGTGTCATGGCTGGGAATGAGAAAATTGAACTATAATCTATTATCAGCAAACAGCATGGAATCTTAAGTCTTTTTCCCAGCCTAGGGCATAGCTGCAGCCATTTTGTTTGTAGAGAGAACTTTTTGAAGTAGCTTGTGGCTGTTAAGATGGAACCTCCCTGTTGGATTTAAAAAATTTCCTAGAAACTTCCTGCAGAGTTCTAATTCTGTCAGAGCAACTGCACAGGAAAAGACATTCCTTTACAATGCCATGCCAAATCAGTGTCAGACACAGTTTTGGTTATAGTATCCCTCAGCCTGTGACTGTCACAGTATTATTCTTGATTCTCACTTTACATAGCACAGTGGTTATTGCATTCGGAGGTTCAGATATCTAACCAATAATTAAAATAAAATATGATACCTTGAAGACAAGTTTTGTTCTTCAGCCTTTGAAAGCCAAACAGATTTAGAGTTTTTGAATC